CGACTGATTCTCGCAGGGGCGAGCACAAAGCGCCGCAGCTTGTCTGGGCTCGTGCCGATCGACATGGCCAAGACAACTGGTGTCTCACGCGCGATCCGTCTCACGCAGCGCCATACTCGGTCTCTTAGCGGAGGCTCTATCCGAAGCAGAACTAGCAGTGCTGGTTCATTGCAATCGCTATGGGAACCCCTCAGTCGTGTCAGGACACATGATGAACCTCTTCCTCTGGACTCTGGCGAAGAAAGCCTTGAGTATACTTCTGGTGATTTTGAAGATGAGGATCCTGATGAAGACACATACTTGACAATGCGTCGCCCAAGCGCTCTGAAGCTGGATGTTGATCGGTCTCAGGTCCTCGGTGAACAAGCAGAGGCAAACCAGGATCCTGCCTCTCAAGCAAACGCACTGGGAGCAGCGCTCAAGGAACAAGTTCAGCAACAGTTACAACAGTTCCAACAAACCATGGCTCTGCACTTGCAAAATCTACCCCAGTTCCCCCAGATTCCGCAAATGCCTGCTCTGCCAGGCATGCCCATGCTCCCCGACTACCAAGCCTATCTGCAACCCGCTCCTTTCATGCGACGGATGACTCAGTATATGCCTGGTATGTCAGGGGGCCGCCCAGAATCAGAGGATGGCAGTGGCAACAAGGTCGATCATCGCTGGTGGGATTTGTCATCATACAGAAACAACAACAGCCTTCCTCCTCCATCTTACGAGGAGATCTTCCCAGAGAAGGATCTTGATGTAAAACAAGCTTCTGCCCTTCATGCGGCTGTGGAAGCTGAAGCGGACATGAAGTGCGCAACAATCTATGATCAGGCGTCATCATCAACCGCCACCACCACCACCACCACACTTGCAACCACAGTTGCACAAGAAGAACGAATCAAGGTCCCCAGTGTTTTGAAGATTGGCCGCAAGAACGCCATCACCAAGGAACAACAAGAGCAACTTCTCAGGGCCCGCGAAGAAAGACTGAAGAGATTAAGCAACGACCGCAATCTCTTCTTCATCTGGGTAAGTACCTTGAACTTATTTCACTTTCCCATCTTTTATATGAGCCAATATTGACCTGACAATGCTATTAGATCCCCTTGCTCCTGGTAATGGTTTGCGCCATGATATACAGCTACTTTCCATCACTCTTCCCCATGGTTTGGAGCATTGTCTCGAGCTCATGTCTCTCCGCTGCAAAGACGGCCCATTCCGCATTCTCTAGATTACAAACGGGCCCCACGGATCGTGGGGTTCGGGTTTAGAGAAGTGTCTGACAAGTGTACACCATGTCCGCAATGTGGATAATGGCGACATGAACCATAGACACCCTAATGTATAGAACATGTTCACCTTGGGCGACAGGATCGAACAAGATATTCAGGGACTGTGTTATTGCCAACTGGCTGGTTATTCAACTTATTCCTTTTGTTGTATGCAACCTGATGACGAGGAAACGGGTGGCTTTATGCAGTATCGCGTTTTAATTTATGCCATATACTACGCATCTAACGTTCTGGGCAGGCATCGGTATTTACTCTAGCTCTTTTGTTAAACGGTTTTGGGAAGGGAATTCCGCGCACAGCGCCCGCGCGAGGTAACTTTATTCGAGTGAGCACAGGCTTTTTTTTAGGTAGGCATCTCTGTCTTATAAATATCAATTGAATAAATATTCTTGACTGGAGAGCTTTGTTGAAAGATGCGAATGTAAAACCCTATCAGCATCCGAAGTGAAAATGAGCAAAGTCCCTCAGATGATATGTGTCGAGCGTGCCAACTGGTCTGGCGAGCGAGTACGAGTACACGGTCTCATGGGATAGCATTATAACACGTAATATCAAATCAATTCAAACCACAAACTCGCCTGTCCGAACCCTCATCCGATCCTTGAACCCTTAATCCATTATGATAATGACACAAATGCTGGGTCCTAGTGCCCCATGGCTTCGAAGGTACATAGTTCCTCTCCCTCCCATGCCTGAAATCCCATTTATATAACTCCGCACGGCGGTGGAGGAGAATTTCCCAAACACCGTCCGTACATCGTGAAAAGCAACCAGCGAAAATAAAAAATCAAACGATATGTCATCTCTCAGGAGACCGAAACACCGACCCGGCGCCCCCTTTAGCAAGAAAAAAAGAAGAAGAAATATCCCCATCCGTTTCCCGTATCCTTTCCGTCCTGATATCCGTCCTTTCAAGAAAGAGGTATAAAGCAAAAAAATAAAGTGAAAAGGGGAAAAAAAAACTCCGGTCGGGTCAAAGACGCCGACCTCGTTGGTGATTACGCCGCAAGACCAAACGTAGAGAAAGCGAGTTCACGAAAAATCAAGTGTGTCGTTCGTCCACCATTGCATGCATCAAGCTTCATAAGTCGTGTGAATCAATAAAAGCGGAAATGATCCCCGGCCCTCCTCCCTCTCTCCTTCGTCGACAACGCAACGGGAGCGCTCGTTGCTGGTGACGGAACAGAGGTTGCGAGGGCAGGATCCGACATGTTTCGTCAGCGAATAGCATCGTCATCAATCAATTATTCATTCCTGGCCGGCGTGAGCCCGGCGAAGTCCCCTCCAGGGACCGTCATTCTCACGATCCTGGCCGTAGGTGAACTTGGAGGGGATGTCAGGCACCTTGGGCACGCCTCGATTCGTGTTCGGTCGCACACGCAGAGGTTCGGCAGCGCTTCTTCTAGGGCGCAGGACCCGCGAGCTGGTCTTGTGGGATAACGTCTTGCCGTAGGTCTCACTAGCATTCCGTCTGGCAGACGAATCCCGGTCCGGGACGGGCACAGAGTGCTGCTGCAGGCCTGAGATTTTGGAAAGAACCGCTCGCTTCGATGACTTCACGGCTTCGGCCTGTGCCACGGCAGCGGCCCTGGCGTTGGAGAAGCTACGGCTAGAGAGAATCGTGCGGGAGGATGAGCGCAGCTTCGGCACCGTAAGCTCTCGAGTAGCAGAGGCAGACTTGCGCAGCTTCCTCACCCTCTGGATATTCTGAATGGGGTCCTCCTCTGGCTCTTCATCCGCAGCTCGCTTTGTGCCGCGCGAGTCGGCACTGGCTGGGGTCTGGGCGGGTGATGAAGGGCGCATTCTGGGAGGCGTTGCGGCAAGCGGTGAAAGTGGCCACTTCGGTCGTTGCGGCGGATTCTGAGACTGCTGGGGACGCTGTTGCTGCCACTTGCCGGACGACGGCTGGCAGGAGGTCTGGTCGGCAGTCGATGGCCGAGACACTCCAGGGCCAGGCTGGCGAGTGGACTGTATGGCATGAGCAGCGAAGAAGCCCGACGCCACGAGGTTGTTGTAGCTCTCAAAGATCTCCTCTCTGGACGGCCTATCATCCTCCTTGCTCTTCCGGGTCGTCTTCTTCTCCTCCGACTTTCTCCTCTTCACCTCGTCTTCTACCGGGGCTTCCTTCCTCATCCTGAGCTTGCCCATGACACCATCCCACATCTGTCCCAGGAACTGTTTGCTACCCCGTTTCGTGATGACTGGCGTGTGGGCGGGCGTCGTAGGTGCCGCGAGCGGGATTGCAGGGTCGTAGCTCACCGGCCTGGGCTTTCCCTGGGCCATGGAGAATGGGAGCGCAGGCAGGGGCTTCTCCAGCATGGCGCGCTCATCCGGACCGATGAAGTGAACCGGGGGGGTGGCGGATGTGCGGTCGTTCATGGAGCCCTCGTGAAAACGACTTCGACTCGGCGGCCGGGGGATCTTTGCTCTGTGCGGCATGGTTTCGGAGCTGGATGTTCTTCCAAGCTGTGTCTTTGTTGTATAAGCGGTGGCGCTGGCAAGCGTGCCGTCATGTGAAGCGCGTAACTTTGTGTCGAGCCGAGAAGGGGAACGCAAGAATGCTAAGCAGAGAACCAGGCGAACTCTAAATAGCAATGCCAAAGGCCTGAATTGATCGAAATGTGTCCCTTGATTTTTCTTTAGCTTGAAGCAGGGAGTGCCATACAGCCGAGCAGGACGATTTCTTGTTGACTTTCGGGAAGTTGGGCATCACGTGATCGTCAGTCGCCACAGCAACGACCGCGTGAGTGGCCCCCAAACCAGAGGCAACGGCACCAGGAACAGAAATGCAAACTCCCTGCATTAGGTATCAAAACCGGTCTCTTGAAACATGCCCTTGTCTGCGTGTCTGATGCTGGCCGGAAAATTGCGATCTGACACCTAGATTATACCACGCATGATAAGTTTAAGCAAGGGACGCCGCGGGATATTGAAATTCTATTCAGTTGAACCAAAACACTTCACGTCTTCGAGGCGCAATATTTTTAACTAAAGTCAAAAGTTGTTCATTCATTAACTCCTTCAGTAATCAAAACACGTCTCCCAACCCGATAAGATAATCCCAGTAGAGCAAATAGAACAACCCGAAGAAAACGATACAAAAGGAAAGAACAATGATGCTAATCGGTTCCCTATGGAGAGTGGAAGAGGCCGGTTCCGCTTCCAAGAAAATGAATGACAAATTCAAGCGCAGGCGCTTCGTCAACATACTGAGCCATAAGTTCGTCAGTTAAAAACGCTGATGCTCAATCCCCAAAAAGAGGAACTGGGCACAAGGAAGAGTAAACCGACATCTGCCTGAATCGTAGACAAATGACATGCTTGACATCGGAGAACGCAGGTGTGGTATTCTAATGTGATGATGAAAAGATATTGTGACATAGAAAGTAAGGAGTGAATTGGCTAGAAAGTCAAGAAAATGTGAGGGAAATAGCCATCCGGCCATTTTGTAAAGTGCCGAATTAAAATATACAGCAGCTTGGAAGCACGAGACCACAGTGCAAGCAGGCGTAAAAGTAAAGGACGAGTCGTCAGGGCAAGCAGTTGGATGAGTGCTTTGGGTGAAGCCAGACTGAGGAAGAAGAGGTACGACGATATCCTCTTCACAGGGGGCAATAAAATGTTCTCCACAGCAAATGTATAACAGTGTCGAACGGATATATCCAAGATGAATTTTGCGGATCCAGGTTGGTGGAAACCCGAAAGAAAAAGCCGTCATTATTGACGCCAGCCAATTTCTAGTGGATAAGGCTTGAATCTCGCCTCGCCGACAGTGCCATCAGCCCTCCAGTAAAATCCTTGTTCACGTGTGTCGGTTGGTAAGTCATCATGCACACCGCGAGCGCGATGATCATCTGGTCGCTCTCTATTATGCAAGGGTTGAGCGCTTTCATTAAAGACTTCGTCACGTTTCCGTTTCTCACCCGTCAGAGATGGACGTGGGTAGTAGCTGTGGTCCGTCCGAATTGGTGGCAAAGCAGAATCACTTCTATATGGCTGCATCATCTCGCCTGGTGCCAAGGAGGGCAAGAGCGGGCGCGGAGCAGGCTCAATACGCCGCGGTTGGTAAGCGGGCTCAATATGGCGTGGTTGAGGAGCTGGCTCGATGTGCCGTAGTTGAGGAGCTGGCTCGATGTGGCGTGGTTGTGGAGCTGGCTCAATCCGTCGCGGTTGGAGTTGAGGTTCAGACGAGGATGAACCATCGCTCGATAGTAAATGCGCAATCTTGATGGAACCTGAGGATGTCCGTGGAGCTGTTTGGGTCTGAGGAGCTTGAGGGTGAGATTGTGGACCAAACATCGCGCTGGGCGGATGCCGGGACACAGGCGTAGGAGGATACGAGGAGTGTTGAGAATCATGGCGAACATGACCTTCAGATGAGTAGACCGACGGGGATGGTGGAATGTAGTTGCCAGAAGGTCGGCGATCATGGCTGCCAGGTCCAACTGCAGGGGATTGACAAGTTGGTGGCCCATTTCGGCTTGGAGGATGAGACGATTGTTGGGATTCCGGCTTTGCATATTGGGAGCTAGGCGTGTAAGGCCCGCTTGGAGACATCGGCGCCAATGGCGGTGGATGGTGGTGAGAATATCCGCGAGGAGGCGCAGCATACTGAGGGCCGCCGTTGTCGCCACCGAAGGAGAGATGGCGGTTAGACGGTGCTTCGTACGCTGGCTGGATAGGTTGGGGATACGCAGTATCAATTGCAGACGGTCTTCGAGGTCGGTCGGGAGCATATGGGCCGTGTTGCTGGTCACTCGAATTGCTCATCGAACGGGCCCGTGCGATGTGAGGATCCTCGTTGGCGGGTGTAGGGTTCCTTCGCCGGGAGTAGTCGTCGTCCCGACGATCATGGTCCCTGGGCTTCGTTTCCCGCTTCCTCATCCTCACGTCACGGCGGATTCGCACGCGGCACCCTTGATCGGCGACTTCCTTGCTCAAAGCCGTGCTTTCCATCAGACCGGGGAACTTCTTCGCACTGAACACGTCGAAAGGGTTCGTCTTGATTTCCATGCGCCAATCCACTCCGGGGGGCAGGTCGCCCTGGGAAGGATCGAGATCAAAGTCTATCTCCTCCTTGGTCGTCTCGAAAAGGCTGAAAGAGAGGCGATACTGGCCTTCGTGGCGGACGGAAAGATCGGGGAAGATGAAGTAACCGGCTGCGGTTGGGCGATCGAGGTAGGCCATGCCAGAAGCTGGCACGCCGGTCAAGATTGGAGGTTGCTGCGTCCCCATGCGCCCCGAAGATATCTTTCTATATTGCTCCAGACTGGCGTATAGGAAGAAGCTCGCATTGTAGTCGAATGTAATGTCCTTGCCCCGTTCCCACGAGTCACCATGACGAATCCTCAGCTCAACAACGGGCGGAGGGTCAACAGGGCGCCGGTCACTGTTGGCTATTTGTTTTCCAATATGTCAGATAATTCTTACAGTTGGCAATTTGAAAGTAGAGCTTGTCCCATCTTACCCTTATTACCAGCACCGCATGCTCGAGCACGCTCGGGTTGTTGCAGAACCGAAAGCTGATACCAGAGATGACGGCCTCCGCGGGTCTTACGGTTGATTCGCACAACTGTGTCCCGGCGAGGGTCGGACGGGATTGATGCAGGCGTAGCCATTGTGGCTGGTATCGCGCTGCCGACGCGAGTCTAGAGCGAATTGGTGAGAGAATGGCAGTATTTCCTACATTGGTCAGCTTGACACTCAGATAGCGGCGAGTGTGTATAAGTAGATGTTGGTGAAAAGGCCTTGATAAGAGTGCAATGATGGCCGAGATGGCGGCGACGGGAGTTGAGCGCGTTGGTAGATATCAAGAATGGAATTGCCGTCAAGACTCACAGTAAATGCTCGCTTCGGGTGCTGGCGCCTCCGTTATGAGACTGATGAAGAAGAGAAAACGGAAAACCCCAGCGTTCACGAGCCCTCTACCCAGGAAGGTAACGGCAGAAGGCGGGCAGCTTGATGAATGAGACCAAAAAAAAAAGAAAGAAGCTAACAACGAAACTTGCCCGTGGTGGACGACGCTGGTTCGATTCAGGAGGATGAATGAAGCGTCTCCAGCACTAGACGGCAGAAAAGGACCAGACAGACGGAGGCCAGTACGGATGCCTGGGGGAGAGGAGATGATAGGGTGGGCAGAGTAACAGGGTGGGCAGCCCAGGACAGGGATCCGGTGACTGGGGACTGGGGACTGGAGGCTTTTGGGAGGGGGGAGGGACCACTGGGCTGGGCTGCACCGTCGCTGACTGGGCCGCGAGCGGACCGTGGCAGGGGACCCCCGGGAATGAACACGCTACCATTTGCTTTAGGGGCGGAGGGCCTGCAAACCGCCCACACCCACGGCGAGGAGAAAAGGTTGGATGGCTGAGGTAATGTGAGCCCAGGTGACGGGTCCGCCATGCCCATTGGGGAAGCACGCACCACTGGGCCGTACCCAGTCTCTCGGGGACCAAATTCCAGGGTGACCTGTGCTGCGTGCTCCAGTGCGCTGTGGTGCACCCTGGCAGGCCTTGTGGCTCTGTGCGCCTGACTCGTCCATCGGGACTAGTGCTAACGCTCGTCTCATTTACTTTGCTGCCATACGCGTACAGGTACAGCGCCTGTCCTGTCATACGCGCACAACCATCCGGTCGGGGGCACCCAGGCTCTGCAAGGCAATTCGAGGCACCTGGCTTGGCCATCTCTGAGGCGCCCCCAAGGCGTTGTTGTTGGTCGCCCTTGGAGGAGGGAACAGTCCCACGGGAAAGGTAGCTCACCAGCATGAATGTAACGTCAACCATCAGGGCAACGCCGTTCATTGGCGAGATGCCGGGACCATCTTGCTTCGACCAACAGGCGGTTCGATACAGTGGCGCTCCCACTGAAGCTTGCCTAACCCTCGCTCGGCGCATTCCAACGTGGTTGAAGGGCATGAGGGGGGCCTCCTTAAGATAGCTCGCTCCCTGCCCGCCAAACCTTTAAACAAAGCCTGCCGCAACTCGCTGCTCCAATGTAACCTGCCCCGTGGAATACCTGTCGCGAGCGCAGGGCATACAAACCGGCCCCGAGCCCCCTTCCCCGTGATTATTACATGCTTTTCCTGGGTAGGCAATTCGGAGCAAACATGGGAATACTTCCTAGCTGGCACTCAGTTTGGTGGCCAAGGTGCAGCGGTTTGCAGTAGTGCCGACATGGGCATCCCAGCTAGCCACCCCACCATCTCCAAGAAAACGACTCTCTGGCCATTAACGATCTCTCACGGCCAGGGCCCCCTGTATCAGTAGCTTGCTTCCTGACAGGCCGGCATGCACGAGCAGCATCGGACTTTGGAGAGCGGCCAATCAAGGATCTGCCGGCGATACAGAAAAAATAACTTGCGTGCCAGCCGGGTCATGCTCACCTGTTGCGGGCGGAAGCGCAGCTCTATTCTAATACTCGTCCTCTGGGAAGGCGACGCGCCGCCAACCACTCTGGATAGCCAGCGGTTCCTGTTGGATGTACGGATGTGTGAATGTTCCCACGACATGCACATTCAGGAAAAGAAAGCATCGAGCTTCCGATGCATGTACATTATGCACAATCTGCTGGCACGGCCGGAGATGCAGCGGACAGGCAAGACAGATGGGGCCAGCACTCTTGCGAATCAAATCAGCGCACCTTCACAGGTCCAGAAGCAACAAAAGTTCGTACCGCCCGCTAAAGACAAACCACCAAGCTAAAGCTGGCAAGCGTCCCCCTTGCGCTCAAGCCTAGAAATCAGTGGGCCTTTCCGTCGTGGAAAGCCGATCGGAAAGGCGAGGGTACGAGTATCCATACCCATAGGCACGCTCTGTAGCCTGATGTCTGGTTCGTCTCGATGTTCGACATGTAGAACCTTGAAATCCTACCCTGCCAACGGTGGTTCATCGACCACGGAACGTCAAATTGAGCACTGACAGCAGGATTGAGCAAGCTGTGCCGGCAGCAGGGCCCTTCTTCCTCCCCCCCCCGGTACGTTGCATGTGTCTCAGGCCGCAGCTTTGGGCAGCGTCTTTATTTATCCTTGCTTTTTTGGGGGAGAGCCGACCAACAGGTGCATACTCCCCATCTCTGCATTGGTAGATTGGTCCTTTGTGTATGCATGTGGTCTGGCATGTAAGCCCATGTGTCAATACATCCAAGATCCAGTAATCAACGACGATACTCGTCTGGACACCACGGTCGCTGCCTCCAGAAATGACCGCACGGATAACCGACTTGGGGAATTCTCAGGCTGGGGCCCCAGCACCAACACGGCCAAGCTACCGGTCTGGGAATACCAATTCTCAGAATTGCCAGGAAGTGACTGGGAAAACTGGAGTACTTCCCCCGGCAGCTCTCTTCCTCGGCCCCATTCGAGATTTTCGTTCCCGTTAATTTAGCTCTGGGTGTGCTAGATCGATCCTTTCTTCTCGCACCACTTCCCGCGTCGAGAGAACAATTCTGGTGCCCACTACCTGACTCACTAACTCAGCCGCCTTGGTCTCGCCCCCTAGTCCGACATAAGGTAGTCAAGCTTCGAGTCCAGCCTGCGCGGAATTGCTTCCATCCGGCCTCCCAACGCCTGCCGCCCTCAACCTTGCCCCCTCCCGTTCTGAGCGACGCTTCAAATTGGATCCGATACAACGTTGCTCGCCAGGACGGATTCGCACCGAACCCCTGACTCAAGTTCGTGGTATGGTATTGACTGAACTGCGCTCCCAAAGGGAGAGGGCTGACTGCCAGCTGCTCCTGTTTGGGGAACCGTCTGGCCGGCTGGAAATCTGCACAATGTGCTTCTACCGAGAGTTGCGCCCGCAATGATCTCTTGTCTTGGCTAGTAGTGGCCACTGGCTTTGCTTGGCATGCGGCAGCAAGCCTGGTTGGTTGAGTGCTTGGTGTCCGTTGGCTGCGATGCATGTACCGTGTGGCGGTAGTTTTCCTTTTGTTGATTCTTGCCCGCCCGCTAGCCCGACCAGACGCATCCAATTACTGCTCCCAGTGGCTGCGCTAAAACGTCCGACCAGTCCTTCTCGTAGCACACCTCCAGCCATTCGACGGGCTACTGTAAGCATAAAACAGACCTGTCGATTCGAGTCGTCATCACTCATTGATCAATTAATTAATTAATCAAGGCTCTAACGCTTTGCGGCTCTCGAGTCTCGTCAGCGAGCCCATCTCCTCACCCGGGTCAAATTTACAGACCTGACTCGCCGATCCATCACATGCGCAAGCGCAAGCGCAAGCGCATCCTTACTGCTCTCGACATTCCAGCCGCCGAAGCTTGTGGTCTTGATCAACCAACTTGCGAGTACCCAGGCCCATAGGGTCGTAGCCTGCTGGGTACTGGTAGTTGGCAGCGGACCTGATGATGGTGGTGCTCTCATCGTTTTGACGCCATTCGAGAAATAAACCTCCATTTGGAAAGGGGCAGATGGAGCGGCCCCCTTCCCTTCCACTGGAGCTCCCTCGGGTAGTGCACAGGTGCCTGCTATTTACAGCCACGGGTGTCCCTACAGCGCATTCCGCCCTGCAGCGAGGGCTGCACGGATCCGCCAGGGTGCTGGGTGGTACTACAGGTAGGCCCGGGAGCTTCAATCTGGTGTGCCGAACGATAGCGTCGGGATCCCTGGGCGACTTGCTTTGTCCAACGCGCAGATGCATGCATCCTGCGCAAACAAATTGAAGCCAGCAGCCAACGTGCATACGATACACAATGGACGCCTATCACATCTCGTCATGCCCACGCACCCACCCTCGATTACTCCGAGTCCCAACACCACGACCTTGGGTATGATTGAGCAATGCACGTCCAGATTGCGCCCCCTCTTCGTTTCAGCCGAACGGCATCTTAATCCTCCGCTGGGGGGCAGGCTCTCAGCGCCAAATGACAGCCAACCGGCTCGCCCACCCGCGTCCGCTACCTTCTGTGTTTGCACACAGCCCTCCACTGAGCCGGTCGTAACAAGACCCGTCCCTCTGGTCCCAATGTTGCAGTTGGGTGGCTACATGCCGTGCCGTCGACACAGCAGGTAGCAGCACCCAGGCCGTCCATTCGCTGCAATCCGCCCCCCTCCCCTTCGCTTCCATGCAATAAGGACATGCCAACGTCAACCTGCGCAGTTCAGCCCACCCCTCCTCACCCTTCCTGTCGGGCGTGGCCAGGCAGACTGGTTCTATCGCACAGCATCTTGGTATGACAACAAACGCATTCCAACCAGCACACACCCCGTCCCGGGACCATGGTTAGCTTAGCTTGGTACAGATTTGCCAGGACCGTTTTAATTTTTGTCCAGATTACTATTACGCACGCACCATCCCACCCGTCGAAATCTCGCCATACCTACAGCAGAGGCCCGTTTCACCCACCCCATTGGAACAATCATAGGCCAGCCCGACACCGCTGCCTACCCTAATCCGGCGTTTTGCAGGTCGCTACCAATCAGTCCATCCAGCGAGGCACGCCACATGGCCAGATTCTCGAGTATCATGTTCGAGAATGACCTGTATTGTGCATGCATTGCTGTCAGTCCCAGACGCATCCGACTTGCTGACCCCGGAAAAAAAGAAAAATTGAGGAAGAAGCAAGCAACAGGAAAAGAGGAGGAAAGAGCAAAAAGAAACCACCCCATCGATCCATGGG